GCGGGGAAAGGGCTGCCTCCGTGGTCGCAGCGTCTGAACTCCAGTCCTTCCCCAGCCGGCGTGGTGTAGCTGTGGCTTAGCGCCCCCCAGCGGCGTGGTGTGGTGGAGCGACTCGCCGCCCCGAGCGGTGGCTTCCCTGTCTGCACCGGGGCCGGCGGTGCTGGTCCTGCCTCCCTGGCGGAGTTGCTGGCCGGGTGCGGGCGTGTGGGCGGGCTTTGGGAGTAGTGAGGGACTGTGCGCACGCGAGAGTCGGTCCTGCTGTCCTCGCCGGGATCTAACCACCTCAGTGTCCATGCAGGCCTGGCCACGGGTTCACCTGTAGCCATGGCTTAATTCCGGTAACAAGCGGTTTTACTTAATTGCATGTATTTCCATGTAATCCATTTTTTTCAACAGACGTTCAGTAAGCACCCTCGTTTAAAATTATCCGGAGTCAGGCGCAGTGGCTCACACCTGTAATCCCAGTACTTTGGGAAGCCAAGGCTGGAGGATTGCTTGAACCTAGGAGTTCCAGACCAGCCTGGGCAACACAGTGAGACCCTTCTCCCTAGTGATCTTTATTCACATATTCTCACTTATAACATCTGGGAAGGGAGCTTCCACTAGCGGGTTTTACATAGGAGGTCTGACAATTGATGGGTGGACTAGGTGCTGGCATGGTGCATAGCTTCCCAAGGGGAGTACTTCGAAGGTGACCATGCCATAGTGATATTCAGCAGTGAGGGATGTACACACTTTTTCTAGGATGCATTCGCGAACTTAATTGTCAGAGCTTGTATAACACTCCGGGTGAAAAGACAGAAAGAGAGAATGGGGAAAGTTACCCTCCATGTAGGCTCTGCCTGGGCTGTGCATGTGGGACTGGTTTTGATACAGGCCAGGATACTCCAAAGTTGGGGTCCCACCGGAGTCACCAAGGGAGATAATGCAGGAGAACCCCAAAACTGGGATTGGGCCAAGTGAGTTTTTAGCTTTGTGCAGGACAGAATTTAAGCCCAAGTCAAAAGTGGGAGATGAAAAGCACGTTTATTAAAGAAACGAACCGTAGGCCAGGCACAGTGGCTCACGTCAGTAATCCCTGCACTTTGGGAGTCCCAGGCGGGAGGATCACTTGAGCTCAGGAGTTTTAATTTGGAGCGTCTCCATAAGCTTCTCACGGGCCACATTCTCAGACCCATGGAGTAGAATATTTTCTATGTGTGAACAGCATCAAGAAGATAACAGATGGGGAAGAGCTATCCAGGTGGAGGGTGGCCTGGGCAGGCAGACCCCCATGCGGTCTATTTTCTGCAGCCTTGCTACCCAAAATGGAGTCTGGGAACCAGGGGACCATAGCTGGGAGCTTGTTAAATGCAGAGTTGTAGAGCAACATCATGAGCACCTGCTCTAGGCAGGGATCCCAGGTAACTCCTTTGCCTGTTAGATTTGAGAACAACTGCTCTGGAACATACTGGCAAGCCTCTGAAGTCTCTGGGTCAAGTGTAGAGTGATCCCAGGTTTCCCCTTGTCTTAAAGCTCCTCAGATAAGATGAGTCTCCCAGGAGAATGCATTTCAGAGCAATTTTTAAGATAAAAATTGGTCTATTATTCATGGGTTTAAATGAGTTTTGTAGCAACAAATATTTATGAAGCATTTATTGTGTGCACGGCAGTGTGGCCTTAGTAGAGGTGGCTTGTATGTTCATAATGTAACCAGATTTCCAGGATATAGACTAAAGCTGTAATATTTAGCCCATTTTCTAAAGTCCAATATAAGCCAGGTGTGGTGACTCACACCCATAATCCCAGCACTTTGGGAGGCTGAGGTAGAAGGATTGCTTGAGCCCAGTAGTTCAAGACCAGCTTGGGCAACATAGAGTGACCTCAAGAAAATCAAAAAATCAGCCTGGCAGGTTGGTACATGTCTATAGTCCCAGCTACTCAGGAGGTTGAAGTGGAAGGATTATCTGAACCCAGGATGTTGAGGCTGCAGTGAGCTGTGACAGAACCACGGCACTCCAGTCTAGGTGACAGAGTGAGACTCCGAATAAAATTTTTAAAAGAAAAAGTAAAGTCCTGTATAAATCAGAATGTACTGATGAATAGAATTTATTGAATCTCCCTTCATACATTTACCCATCACCAGTATAATCGCAATGGGGGAGGAGATTGATGGACAGCTATAATAAAGCAGACAGATAACTACAATGTACACTTTCAGATGTTAAAGGAGGGTTTGACAGAAGATCAAATATGTCTATAATAATTTGTTCTGATTGAGTTATAGTTTGAATTACAGAATTGATACCAAACTACTTCTGAGGTTTCTAGCTTGTAGTATTTCTAGTGCTTTGCAGATAAGTTATATTCATTAGAATTGGCATTGTGTATTGTGAAAGAAAATGGATAGTCTGTCTATTTGGGACTTCTAAAAGTTATTAGGACCCAAGTCAGGTCGATTTTGGAAACCAAATCACAGAGCCTAATCTCTTAATTACTGACCTTTTGTTATAGACTAACTTCTTCTCTTGTTTCCTTGTTCCTGGCTCAGAAAACACGGCCCTGAAATAGACTATTACATTTTTTATTCTGTCTTATTTACAATCTTTATTCTGTTTTATTTATTTGTTCATTCATTCATTTATTCAGTTGAGTCAAGGTCTCACTCTGTTGCCCAGGCTGGAGTGCAGTGGCATGATCATGGCTCACCACATCCTTGCCCTCCTGGGCCCAGGCAATCCTTCCACCTCATCCTTCTGAGTAACTGGGACTACAGGTGCATGCCACCACACCCAGCTAATTTTTTATTTTTATTTTTATTTTTGTAGAGACAAGGTCTCCTTGTGTTGCCCAGACTGGTCTTGAACTCCTGGGATCAAGCAATCCTCCTGGCTCGGCCTCCCAAAGTGCTGGGGCTACAGATGTGAGCTACCAAGCTCAGCCTTGACTATTACATTTTAAATGTGGAATGCTAAATATAGATTTCCCCAAATAACACCAACTATAACCAAATTGCTGTAACTATGTGCTAGCCCTGTATGGAACATGAGGTGATCCTGTTAATCTTCCCCAGCCCTTCCCTCAGCTCCCCAGTGTTGAGCACTGACTCCACCTTTTTAGAATTTGTATCCTCCCAGTGGCCATCTTCAAACTTTGCATTGGAATAAACTCAATATTTAATTTTATTATCTGAATCTCATCATTAAGGTTGACATATTAAAGTTAAAATTGTGTTTAAATAATAGGCTTTTTGTTTCTTCCTAACAAGGTAAAACATGCTTCCTGCTGTCTCATTCAAGAGAATGAGGTGGGAAATCATCTTCAAGGTGGTATAAAAATAATCCCATCTAAAGTATAATTGGCACAAATTCAGAGTAAGTACTATTATTAATGAGTTTATGTTTTAAACAAGTATATTAAATTAATTAGAAGGGCATCGTGCTCAGTTCCTGGGAAGCTGAGGCAAGAGCTGATAATTGTGTGATTGTGGACAAGGTTCCACCCACACACCTGGAAAGAAAACATGGAAGAGGCTGGACATCCTCCCTGGCTGGTGTTTTACTTCTCCACCTTTCTTCTTGGGTTGATTTATTTTTTCCCAGTTAGGAAAAGATTTCCTTGGACTTTGCCTTCAGGAAACTTACATTTCAACTTCAGTTTTAAGGGACCCTGGGCAATGATTGTATGAGCCTGTTTGTGGCATTAGAACAACACATAGAAAGCGTCAAGAGATAGTTACAAAAATGAGGAAAAACATCTAACCTGCTGGGTAGAAACAAACTCCAAGTAGCCTGTACAGTAAAAAAGTTACATTCTATTCACATGAATGGCATGAAATTAGTCCGAATGTAGGATACTGGTGCTCATTTAATTGTCTCAAATCTTTTAGAAGAAAGTTGTTGGAACCACACAGGGCACCCATGTTCTTCTGGCTATAGAATTTGTGAAGAAAGAGGTTTGGATCCAGGAGCCAGAAGTTAGATGACAGGTGCTTTAGCCTCTGTGCATGGCTCTTTGAAGTGCTGGAAAGTTATCCCACTGCTGGCATTTTGAGGAGGACATGAAGATTAAGTACAGGCTGCCACATGCACTACTTGGACACTTAAAGTTGTTGCTGGTGAATTTCAAAGCCAATTTCCACCTGTAGGATATTTCCAAGTCTGCAGACCACGCCTCTAAGAAATTCATGACAATGGAGAAAGCTCATGTTGGCCAGAAGTTACTGCAAAATGGAAAGAAATACAGACTGATAAGTGAACCAGAAGTTGTAATCACCCCAGAGGTACATACTCTGAGAACCAACTAACATTTAGATAAAGGCAGGTGGGCAAGGGCAGAGCTATATCTTTTTCTATCTGAGGTACATGAATTCTCTTTGGTGTCTGGTTTTGTTTTATTCCAACCTGTTTTGTGCTGCTTTGTAAAATAGTCTCTTGCCTGAATTATCTCTGTGAACATTATACTCTAGCAGTTTAATAGTATGTGAAATAGTACCCTATCTTCCTTAAAATAGTTTGGAAAACAGCAAATTTTTTTGCACTTAAATATATTTTAAACGTGGTTAACGTGACAAATCAGGGCATAATTTTCTTTAAAAAAGGAGAGCATATTTTTATTGTCAATGGCTATAAATGATTACAGTGTTCAGAGGAACTAATAAATTCCTCATCTGCTTTCAGACAAAGCAACAACGAACCCCTTTACACCTCCTCAGTTGATTGCCCGTGCTGGGGACCTGGGGAAAGAGTGGATCAAATCGCCACTGCCCACCTGGACTTGGAGATGAGCGGTACTGTTGACAGAAGACATTACCATGTGCAAGTTGAGGATGCTGGAGGTGGCTAGGAGAGGACCAGAGGCTGCCACAGTCCAAGATCTGTGTAAATGTTCAAAAGATGTCATCCCTGCAGAAGTCCAAATGCACCAAAAGGTGAGCAGGACATGATCTTTTTCTTTTTAATTTTTAATTTTAAATATGTGGGGTACAATTCAGGGTTAGGTATACAAATGTTCATTATGCAGGTACCCTTGTTGATGAGGTGTGCCCCCTCCCACCACCACTGCAGATTCTTCCTACTGCCAATCCCGCTGCCCCGCTCCCAGGCAGCTTCCCACTACTGCCAATCCCTTTCTTCTAGTATTACGATAGTTGTTCCAGGTCCGCTTATGAGTGAGAACATGTGATACTCGGTTCTTTGTTTCTGTGATAGATCACTCGGCATTATAGCCTCTAAGTCCATCCAAGTTGCTGCAAAGTTCATAATTTTGTCCTTCTTTATGGTGGCATAATATTCCATCGCGTATATGTACCCCATTTTTTTTATCCAGTCCTCTTCTGATGGGCAGCACGGTTGGTTCCATGTTTTTGCTGTTGTAAATAATGCTGCAATAAACATGCATATGCAGGTTTCCTTTTCATAGAGTGATTTGAGTTCCTCCAGGTATATTCCCAGTAGGGGGATCGCAGGGTCATACGGAAGGTCAATTTTTAGATCTTTTAGGAATCACCACACTGTTTTCCACAGGCGTTGTACTAGTTTACACTCCCACCAACAGTGTAGAAGTATTCCCTTTTCCCCATATCTTCTCTAGCATCTGTTATTTTTTGAGTTATTGCTGATGGCCATCCTGACTGGAGTTAGGTAGTATCTCAATGTGGTTTTAATTTGCATTTCTTTGATGACTGGTAAGGCTGAGCATTTATTCATGTATCTGTTGACTGCTCCTATGTTTCCTTTTGAAAAGTGTCTATTCATATCTTTTGCCTACTTTGTAATGGGGCTGTTTGTTTTTTTCCTTTCAGCATGCTTGAGTTCCTTGTAGATCCTAGATATTAGGCCTTTGTCAGATATACCCTAATCTGTGGGCTGCCTCCCCACTCTCTCAATGGTTTCTTTGGCTTTGCAGGAGCTTGTCAGTTTGATGAGGTCCCACTTGTCTATCTTATCTCTTATGGCGTGGGCACTTGGGGTTTTGATGAGGAATTGGTTGCCGGTTCCAATTTCCATAAGGGTAAGACATGATCTTTTTTTTCCCCTCAGAAATTTTGTTATAAGCAATAGGAAACAGACTAAGATGGGACATGATCTTAACTGGTCATTCACTTGGAATCACACGTGCCCTTGGGAACAGCAAATGCACAGGACAGAACGTGATACCCGGCTCCTGAGGGGCCTGGGTTCAGAGTCGCGCGGAGGCAGCGTGAGCCAGGGCTGCCTCATCCCAGTGAGGATGGCTTGGGGGAGGGTGTGTGGAGGGGGGGCGGGCAGAGGCAGGGCGGGCTCTGGGACCGTAAGCAAATCCTTCACCTAACGTCAAGCCTCTCTGCTCCCATCTGCCCAGTGGATGCACAGCCCCTGTGTCCCGGGCTGTGGCGGGAATGAAAGGAGATGCCGGAGGCAGGAAGGCTCAGGGAGGGGTCGACAGTGTCACTGAGGGGCCGGAGACGGGACGGGGAGCCTTGAGCCTCTGGGCCTTGCGCGGCGCTGAAGCAGTGGCCACGGAGGCCACTGGGTGGCGCCAGCGACCCTCCCGCGGCAAAGAGGGACAGGGACAGGGAGCGGGCAGCGTCCAGGCAGGGCGACGGGGAGCGGTCTCTGCCCCATCCAGAACACCTCAGGCTTCCTGCCCTGGTGTTTGGGCACTTCTCTTATTGGGACTGGACTCGGCACACGGTAATGCCTGAGCCCAAACCAGTTCAAAACCTTGATGTTATCGATTGTAACCACAATTAACAAACGTAGAGCTCCTTCTGAGAACCCGCACTTAGGAGAGTGGTTTGATTTAGGATTGCATTCAGACCTTTTATTCCTTGAGAAATGTAAAAGTGCATAAACACCCCAGAAGATTTTGTCAAAAGTCAAATCATTTTGATTTTCCTGGATGCTTTTCAGACACAGTGAGCGAGTGTTCTGACGTCCCAGGCCCCCTCTGCCAGGAGGGCTGCTGAAGTTTCCTACCCACTAGTCTACGGATGCAGAAGCCTCAAGAGATTTTAGAAAAGAATGAGATTCTCTCTCACCATGGGATGTTGGTGTGCAGGCTTCAACGTGATCCTCTCATCTCACTGGAGAAGTGCAACTGGCCAAATGCAGGGAGTCCTCTACATACAAACCTTCAAGTTGCAAACTTTAAGAGATGCAAACGTGCATTCATATGTCCAATCATGTAAGTTACTTCATGTGTCTGGTGTACTTTTCAAGGTACCGTACGGTAAGATTTAGAATGTTTTCTTTATTTTCTGTGGGGGTTCTTTTATGTGTTTTTGTTGGTGGTGGTGGTGTTGGTTGTTTGTTTTTGGGGGGGTGGGTTGAGTCAGAGTTTCACTGTTGCCCAGGCTGGAATGCAGTGGCAAGCTCACGGCCACTGAAGCCCCGACCTACTGGGATCAGGCAATCCTGCCTCAGCTTTCCAAGTGGCTGGAACTACATGTGCCATGTCACCATACCCAGCTAATTTTTTTGATTTATTATAGAGTCAAGGTCTCGCCAAGTTGCTTAGGCTAGTCTCAAACCCCTGGGTTCAGGAAATTCTCTCTCCTCTACCTCCCAAAGTGCTGGGATTACCGGTGTAGCCACCACGCCCAGCCTATTTTTTTAAATGTATTATTTGTGTGAAAAGTATTATTAGCCGGGCTCGATGGCACAGCCTGTAATCCCATCACTTTGGGAGGCTGAGGTGAGTGGATTGCCTGAGCCCACGGGTTCAAGACCCACCCGGGCAACTTGGCTAGACCTCATCTCTACAATAAATCAAAAAATTATCCGGGCGTGGTAGCACGCGCCTGTAGTTCCAGCTACTTG